AGAGAGAGAGAGAGAGAGAGAGAGAGAGAGAGAGAGAGAGAGAGAGAGAGAGAGAGAAGAGAGAGAGAGAGAGAATAACAAACAAATTATATTAACACCTTCTTTTCAAGTTTCAAATTTCAAGTGAAGGCACTTGAAACGAGAGTTTGAAAGTTGAACAAGTTAGCTAGTCGTTCTATTAATTGTCGAACATGTTTCGAAACTAGTAAATACTGGTATCACTAGTATATTTCAAATTGTGCGGTGAAACGTCGGACAAACTTGTTGAATTTCTGATAGCCGTAGAAACTTGCTCCGATGGAACTCTCGTGAAAGACTCTATTTGAAGAATACGATATTCCGAAATGTCAGACATTTCTATCGAACATTTATGATAAAACGAACGAAATTGAAAATTAAGAGTGAAAATCATCAAGATTCGTATCGCGTATAATTTTATAACTTCATGATTTTATGGCTTTGTTATTTGTGAATGTTTAAAAATTCCATATATAAATATTTATTTATAAATATGAATCGCGAGCTAATAGCTTATAAACAATCCGATGATTTCGGATGGAGAAATATTCAACTCGCGTAGAAAGAGGAAATGTTTCATTTTAAACGCCGTTCCCCGAGAATAGAGAAATATATATCGCGATTTTTTTGCGACCTTGTTATCGAAACTCGCCTGAATTCTGATGCCTGTTCGTCCAGGCGACTCGTTTCTTTCCGCCATAACCTTTCTTTCCAAGTGCCAATAATCTATCGTTAATATTCTAGCGTTACTTCGACTACTTTTCTTACACTCTAATAATTCGATGACTCGTTAATTATCATAATATAACCAATTGGTAACAATCGAGTGTGACATTCTCGATACACTTGGTTTTCGATGACTCGTTAAAAAATAAATCGATCGTGGTAATGTTCGCTTTCCAATTACCAACAGTCGGTATTCTCGATACATTTGATCCGAATGATATGGATTTCCTCTCTCATAAGATCAATCGTGATACTTGCTAAGAAAATTTCGCTATCTTTAAAAAATTGTTAATAGATGTAATCATAGCGAACTACGTTAGTCACGATATAAAGATGCTTTTTACTTCGATATTTTGCAATGTAATCATTTATGGACAGACTACGAATTTTAATTAGAAGTTGAAACACTTAGAGCGTTATCTCGTTTTAACAAAATTAAAACTCGAGATCGAGGGCTAATTTGATAAATAGGAAGATTGACGCCACAGAATTTCGAAATTGCCAGATATTTCCAGATTCTGAAGATGGAAAGAGAAAGCATCTTTCAATTTCTTTATATCGTATTTACATTTTTTATTAAAGAATCTTTCCCCATTAAATTCGTGATTATTAAGACATTAAAAGAAAATATAGGAAAAAATATCGATATATATATAAAAATTAGTTGTAATAAAATCTTTAAGATATATTTCATCTAATATTAGACAGAGGTTTATATTTTACCGGCAACTGGTGTATTTAACAAGAGTGTATACGTACGGTTTCTAATCCGACGATCCCTTACGGTTAAATTACTGTCAAAGGTATCACGTTCCACGTCCCAGATTTATGATATCATCATCGTATTTCGTGGGATTCGACTTTGTTAGACATTTTTCCAACTCGAAAGTATTATAGAAAATTGTGCGAATAATTTTGAATAATAAAATTTTAATAATCCTAAAATTATAGAAATATGAGATAATTATGGTTAATTTCAACGATTTAAAATGATTCGTAAACAAAATAGATTCGCATTGTATTGTTCGCATTTTCAAACAATTTTTTTTCTCTCTCCACAAATCTAAAAAACTTTTAACGTATGAAGCTATGAAACGGAATTGACGTGAAAAAATGATACGCGCGGTGGAAATAAAAATGGTGCGTGAACAAGAAAATGTGAAAAGCGCTAGTGATAGTGGATTGTATATGATCAGACGTAGTTGGCGCTCGATACATACTACTGCATTTCGCCATAATTTCTGACATTTTCATTATTCCAAATGTGTGCCAAATAAAAAAGTTTTTGGAATAAAAATTCGATTAATAATAATCACCCCTTGATTTCCTTCAATTTTTCTCTCCCCCCCCTTTTTTTCTTTTTAAATATTTCGTGTAAATTTATCGTTACGTTTATAAATTCGTATAAAAAGTCAAGATATAATAAATGGTAATATTCAATGATAATATTATAATTCAACAAGATTATCTCTATGATATAAAAATAATTCTGAATATTTTTATTTGTTCGTGTTGTTTTGCCATCCTCCACTCGTTTATCGCTACATATTTCGAATAAAAATTCTTTTTTTCCTGTTCAGAAAATAGAGAATAATCTAAGCAAGTTTACCGGAAAAAATGTTTCCTTGGTTTAAGCGAAAAATTTAATTAATTATCCTACAACTTCGTTTTAATTATCTCGATTTTTCTCGTTAACCCTTAATCAGAAAGAAAATAATTAGCTGGCCCCGTTTTATATCGATACGGAAACTTCTTTGTGAGCGAAGAGAAAAAATTAAAAATTATCCAACGAATATTTCGTATAAGCGGAATCCAGATCTTTTCAAATTCGAATCCAAAATTCGAGATCTAAAAACTCTTAAAGAAAAGAGATTAGAAATTTTCGAAATTTTTGAATTCTTCAACTTGAAATTTTTCTTTTTTTTTTTTTTTGCGAAAAATCGTTCTTTGTTAGTTGTTTACGAATTATTTCTTATCTAAATTTGCAAGATTCAAAGATTTCTAACTGATTTGGAACTCTGAAAATTCGAACCAAACGCGATTTATAATTTTTCTAAATTTCGAAGGATGCCAAATTTCCAACGATCCCATATTCACACGGGACAGAAAATTTCGAAGAATTCTAAAGTCTCGAGTAACTCTACGCTTACATACGATTTTTCCATTGATCCAACCAATATGAAAAGTAGAATATAATTATAATAAAAAAATGATAATATATTTCGCACAAAATTTTGGAACAGAAAATTTCTTATTTTCATCATTCTCGAAATTAATTTTTTTTTTTTTTAAATTTCGAAGAATTCTAAAATAATTCTATACGATTCTTTCATCGGTCCAAATATGAAAAGTAGAATATAATAATTATGATAAAAAAGTCTCCCTCCTTCTTCTCGATCTGTAATAATTTAAATGGCGGAATTCCAGATTTCCAGATGTTAGGTTAGGTCAAGTTAGGTTAGGTTGTTCAACACGTTTTATCCCAAATTCTTAATGGATGCGGCAGCTCGCCCTTCCACTAAATTCGTGCAAGTTGGAAGACGTTTGATATTTCGAATTTGGCTCAACAGACTCGAATAATCGATAATACACGAGTAAAACGTGACGTTACACGTCAATTTAAATATTTCGATTTTAATCGCGCGCTCTAATTCAGATCGATTTTTAATATCTCCGTTTGGCGAACGACAGGCAGATTGATATTCAATTTCATTTTATTCTACCGCTTTTAACAAATAAGGACGGACCGTACTGCAAACAAATGTAATTTGTCACAAGCATATCGATGAAAAATTGTTCGATTTTTATCGTTTTATATCCCACTATACAAACGAAATGTCAAACGTAGATATATATATATATATATATATATATTTGTGAAATTAAAATAAATTTTCCTAATCTCGACGAATCGTTCGATATATAAAT